ATCGAAACGAGAGCGCTCTCCTGGCTAAACAAAACAGATCTGCTTTTTTTTTTGCTACAAACATTATTGCGGAACATCAAACTGAGTGTGTTTGGATCTACGTACATTGTTGATCTCAATCAGCGTCTCCGTACTGTTCTGACGCACGATACGGAGCGAGCGCGTCTTGTCTTTTTGTTGTGATGAACGCTGGAACGACGCCAGAGATTGATCTAGACGCAGACGAAGCTCGTCCACACGCATTTGACACGATTCCATGATCTTAAATTAAATGAAAGACTGGGTTATGTAACAACTTGTATTTGGGGAAAGTAGACATTCTAAAGGGAAAGTCACAGGATTACAATGGAATTCTGTTGCTCAAGGCGGGATATGGAAGAAAAAGATGCAACAAAATTCTTTGCTTTAACACGTCATTTGAGTGTTTGGAATTCTCATATACAAACCTGAAATGAAAAGAATCAAAAAAAGAAATAAGATGAATGGGAGGGAGAACAGAACCTTGAGAGAAATTGAAAATACCCCGTTAAGGGGACTACATCACTACCTTGTCCAAATAATTGGGATAAAAGGGAATGTGATTACTTTCACTTCTTTCTCAACATTCCACGTCTAAATGTAGTCATGAGAATTGCAAAAGCCTCACGATAGGTCACCTATTACCAATCATATACACCATTAAGTTAGGCAGATTAAAGTTCGTTCTCAACTTTTCGGGATCCTAACAAACTATACCTAAGGCAATACAAGGTTTTGATATGAACCAATCAAGAAGATTGCTAATAATTCTACTGACTGGGAAGATGTGTATATAAATTCTTGGATTTGAGTCCAAGTCTCAAAAGATTTTTAGAATATTCAGCGGATCTAATTAGCAGTCATGATAGCATGAATATCTGCAAACTGAAAAGGGGAAGCCTGTTGAAAACAACGAGTTCTCCGCAACAACTTCCCCTAGCAATCGATATAACGAGGCAAAAACGCGCAAAAATGTGCAAAACTCCTTAGAAATTAAGAAAAAAAAACCATTCTCATTTGTCGTCAAATAGATAGTTGGTTTTTAAGACATACTCAATTTATAAAGTAAGAAAACCGCAGTTCGCTCAACTTCAAAGAAAATACAATATACAGCCGAGCGCAGTAGTTCAAGGAGGATACGAAGCAATTCCCACACTGGTCTCTGCAGTCTTTAGTCGCGGGATACACTGCACAACATTAAGCTGCAGCGAGCTGCCTGCTTTCATACTACAACGACTCGTCAGTCAATGATTGAAACGTGCGGACTACTGCAATATAAAGGTTTCCTACACGGAACGTTCTGGCGTCTTTCGCCTTCACCAGAGCGTAAAAGATAGAAACTTGATGTACCCTCTCAAACCTCAGAAACAGAATTCAATGAAACGATAACCAATATGACAAGGAGATAAAATATAAGCGCTCACCTTGCGCCTGTTCTGTACAATTACAAGATTATTATGTCAAGATTCATAGATGACTGAGCCTGAAACTTCCTTCATCGTTCTCATATGTTCGTTAGGCAAAACGGGTGACGCAAGTAGTTCCGCTCAGCCTTATGCAGGAATCTTCTTTTTTGATTAAATATGTCTATAAGAAAATGCTGCAGAACTACCTTATCAAGATTGTGGGCAAGACCGTTTTACTAGTATTGTGCAGAATAGGTACGAAGTATAACAGAAAAAATAGAGAAGTATTCGAAGGAATTTGTCGTAAATCAGAATGAGATAAAGGGTTCTGCCCCAAAAAGTGTGGCATCACTTATTCTTTGTTTCTGTTCTTCAATTTGTACTTCAATGGAAAGCATCGCAAAGTTTGCGCCAAACACTGTGCTTACTCCTATGATTAAGCAGTTCTTTTTCCCTTTTTTTTCTTAG